CATATATATATATTAAAGGCTTTCAAGGAGTCAAAGAGGTAATAATATTAAGAAGTTAGGAAAGTTTAAATTTGACCAAGCTTTACTAAAATTTATACAGTTATACAGTTATACAGTATGTTAATGAATTAACATTAATGATATAATGTGACTGATCAATGTGTTGCTTCGTGTTGTTTTCTCAAGTAAAACTTTAAATTCAGGGTCCTCTGAAATGTTTTTGTTTTTGCGCATCAACTGCATTGCACTTTCAAGAGGTTATTTCCCTCATTTACACTCAGCGAGCAAAATGAACCTTAAAATTTGTTATACTCCTTTCATAAAAGTAGTGAGCTTTATTTTTCAAGCTGCATCGTCATGAAAGCTGAATATTTTCCTCACAAACTAATATTTTATTAGACTTTTACTCGTATTTTAATAGCAAATGTTCAAATTTATGTATTAGCATTTACCTCTAAAACTAACTTGTGAGAATTCTGCAGAAAAGCAAATCTTGTTTCAAAGCTTATGTGTAAAGGACTAAATATAGATTACATTTGAGCCTTCAAAGCTAATATTTATTAATCTTTTTTAAAACAAACTACCTTGTTTAAACTGTTAGTCTTCTGTTGACAGGTTTGTATTTTATTGAACAAAAAGTTCATCATTTTGTGAGTGAAATGCAATATTTCAGTTTGTGTTAAGTGTCACACTTTAGCTCCAGATTTTACTGGACTTCCTCTCAGCTAATTATGCCACAATCCAAAACTATAAATAGTGTATCACTGACAAGAGACACTCTGCTGAGGAAAAAATGTCCCTCAAAGCCAGCGAGGGTCCCACTGCGCATGCGCACTGCATCCCCCCTCTCTCCCTCTCCTCCCGTCGCCTTGGAAACAGACAAAAAGGGTGTTCTCGGCCCGGAGGAAGGAGAGGAGGCTGCTACAGGCTCGGCACATGACCCCACCTCTCATCACGGACTCGGTGTCGAGCGTTTAGTTTAGTCATCGGACTCGGAGAGTAAACCGCGGAGGAAAGCCTGTTTGACCGACCGAACGGGAGAATCGGTAGGTGTGACGCTCGCTTTAGCTGATGTTAGCGGCTAGCTTCAGAGAGCCTCTCATGGTTCTCCCCCCCAGAGACAATAGAGTCGACTAAGCTCGCCTTACTGGAATATAACGTCCTCAGCTGCTCTTTAAAACAGCTCAGCCATGTTTTTATAGCAGTCGGTGTAAATCAGCTGTGAATTTCTCAGCAGCAAAGAGCAAGAGGGCAGAAAGGAGAGGAGGATGAGGAGGAGGAGGGGTAGCAGAGCTTTATTATGACCGCAGAGAGGAGTAAAACTCAAAGTGACAGCCACTGCCTCAGTGACCTGTGTGATCCGAGCACAGCAGCAGCTCCTCTCAGGCAGGAGGCTGAGCCAAAGATGGATGGTTACTCCAACCATCTGCTTTATGCACCAAAGGCTCATTTTATAGTTTACCTCTATTGGTTACCTCTGAAGTTCCAAGATACACTGCATGCATCTCAAAAACAACAGACTTGTTATTGAATGAATTGGTAAATTCTAGAAATGCTTGACAGTCTTATTTTGTATATGCTCGCCTAACTTTTTCTGTGAAGAATGAGGTCTAAGAATATGTGTGAAGGATGCAACCTGAATCTGATTTGTAAATTAAACATCTGAGCCTCCAAGTTACTATAAATCAGAGCTTACAGCTTTGACGCTGATCATTTGGTGAAGAAGCTCGTCTCTTTGTAGGACGAGTAAAGTGACAAGAAGACTCAGCTGCTCCACTGACCCACTTCCTTCACTCTGTGATTTATTCCCACCCTTCTCCTCCTCTGTAGACATGTCAGACGTAGTTCCACCAGAGGTCAGACCCAAACCAGCCGTCCCGGCCAAGCCCCCAAATGTGGGGGCTCCCTCCCCTTCCAGCCCCTTCCCACCCCAGGGCCTGGGTATCGGAGGAGGCGGCGTTTCCGCTCCCCCTCCGAGCGCCATTCCAGTTCCCATCGGGAGCCACGCGCTGAGCCACGGCGTGGGCCACGGAGGTGGGCACGCCGGGGGTCACCCGGCAGCACACAGCGTGGGTCACGGCCACGGGGGCTCGCACAGCTCAACTGGAGGGTCCGCTCTGCTGGGGTACATTGGGATCGACACGATAATCGAACAGATGAGGAAGAAGACCATGAAGACCGGCTTTGACTTCAACATCATGGTAGTTGGTGAGTCGTACCGGTCAGTGTTCTTATTTCGTACATGACTCTGTTTCTTAGTTTGAGAATGTCTTGAACTCCTCTCAGGTCACAGCGGCCTTGGAAAGTCAACTCTGGTGAACACTTTATTTAAGTCCCAGGTGAGCAGGAAGAGCGCAGGATGGGCTCGAGATGAGAAGATCCCCAAAACTGTTGAGATCAAGACAGTGTCTCATGGTACGTAAAGAGAAAGAGCTCTTTATTTTCTACAGGACAAGACTTTTATTATTGCCCATTGACAAAAGGTGAAGACACACGTTTTCACATATGTCTATGAGTGTGTGTCTCATTCATAAGACAGCTCAGTCTGGGACTGACGAATGTCCTGTCCTCCGTGGATCATTCAGAAAACACAAAGGCAGAAAGGAGAGTGAAGCGAGCTCTGATGCCCCGTATCAGAACCGACTTGTTAAAAAGCAACCTGCTCAGAAAATGATAATGAGCTGATGACATCAGTGAGCAACCACAGGATTACTCAACAAACATTATTACTGAGGGAATATGATGTGAATCACCTTTGTAGTTAGTTTAAAATATATTGAACAGGATCACCAAAATGAGTTAATTCTTTTTTTTTTTTTTGATACAAGACAGATGTCAGTGAGTGACCGCAGGATTCATCAACAGACTTATTAATGAGGGAGTATTAAAGACGACACAGACCAGAAACTGTTTAGTTAGTTTAACACGTGTCAAACTCAAGGGTTACCCTCCCAGAAAAAAAAAACAACAAAACCTTTTTTTTTTACTCAATATGAAAAGTGTTTCTCATATCTATGGTAAACTTTAAATTTATGATTAAATGCAACAAAATAAATAAATTTAAAAGGTGAAAGATAATAATAATTGTCCTACCCCTGAGCTGGAGCAKTTTACTTGGATAGCACAGTATTAATGTCTCTAAATGAGTTGCTTTAAAGTCAGCATTGACCATAAACTAAATGTGCCATAAAGCATTTTGATCATGGGAATTCCCTGTCAGAAAGAGGGAGAGTTCAGAATTCAAGATGGCAGCTACTCACTAGAAACTCATCAGTGAGTAAAACTCTATTAGTTTTACTTTTAATATAACTTTTTTCAGATTTAGTCAGTCGTACACTTAGTTCTTATCAGTGTTTAAAAGAGGACGTGTTAAAATTCTGTTTAGTCAAAGTTAACTACAACTGGCCCTTCGAGGGCCACCATAACACTCATGTGGCCCTCGGTGAAAATGAGTTTGACACCCCTGGTTTAAAACATATTGAACCAAAGCATTGCTAAAGTAAGTTAATTCATTTTGTTTTGTTTGGTACCAGACAGACGTCCATCACACAATGAATGCGTTGCGGTCCACTTCAGCTGAGCTCAGGTCTGCTCCACGCCTCTTTTGTTTCCGTGCTTCTGGGCTCATTTCTGAACGTGTAAATGTGAGCGAGACCTGACTTCTCCTGGGATTTATAAATGAACCGAGGGAGCTTAAAGATGGACCGATCTGTACGGCGATCTCGCTGACCTGTCTTATGAAATAGGCTTGTGTGATGGGTAGATCTACAGTAGATGTGTAGAACATTTAATTCGTGTTATGTGTGACATTCCAGCCCTCTGTGGCATGTGATGTTATCCCTCAGAGGGGATGCTCTCAGCTCAGCTACTACCACGCTAAATCCTAGCTCAGTTCTTGTTCTTCAACCGTTCATCAAAGAGAAATCAGCTGAGTGATGTTTACAGAACTGGTGCTTTTCTTCTTCTTGCAGTGATTGAGGAGGGCGGTGTGAAGATGAAGCTGACAGTTGTTGACACTCCGGGCTTTGGAGACCAAATCAATAACGACAACTGGTGGGATCCTTAAATCTGCCTAAAGACTGTCTTATCTTACAGTATCATAAACTAGGTTTCTCGGTGTGTAAAGGGGAGTTTTTATTTCAAAAAATGTAAATCCTGCTTTGTTTTCTCGACAGCTGGGAGCCCATATCTAAATACATCAACGAGCAGTTTGAGAAGTTCCTGAAGGAGGAGGTGAACATCACCAGAAAGAAGCGGATCCCTGACACCAGAGTCCACTGCTGCCTCTATTTTATCCCTCCAACTGGACACTGGTCAGTAAAGCTTTGGACTAATCAGACAAACCATCTTTGTCACCTGCTGCTGAAAGGTGAAAGGCAGGTGATAAAATGGCCGTGTTTTGTGTTCGCAAAATATCTCATGAACCACTGGATGATTTTATTTTAATTATTTATTTTATTTCAAACTTTATTCATTTCTTTAAAAAAAAACTAAAGTAATTCTATGTACAATAAAAAAGTACAAATAAAATTAAAAGAAAGGCGGCAGAGAGAAGAAAACCCCTTTTTCCTCAAGTATAAATTCAAACAATAATATTCAGTTMACAAAACAAAACAAAAACATCAAATCTTTCTAGAACAACAAATTACATGGATACAAATTATACTGTTTCATATTTTTTTAAATAATCTAGCCTTTATCACTCTCTTCCAGATTATTCCACAATCTGACTCCTTGGATTGAGGTGAATCGTTCTTTCAAACATGTTCTAAATTTAGGTTTCATGAACAACTCTGTCCCCTTAAAGGCACAGTGTGTAGGATTTTGTCAATTCTTTTAGCCGATATTGAGATAATCACTAATGACAATCATAAAAAACATGTCTAATCATTGCAGACAAAGACCTTGTTTTATTATTTTTACCTTATAAAAAGCTGTTTATATCTCCATGGTCGCGGGTCGCCACTACAGGCAGCCGCCATCTTGTCTACGAAGGCTCATGAAGGACAAACTGCGGTGGCGGCGTCAAAAACGGTTTTAGTTGTAATACTATAAATGTAATATTTGTTGTCTGTCATTGTAGCTGGGATAATTTTACTTATTAAAGCTCATAATCTTACCACTTGAAACATCACTAGCCCTGAAGCTGCTGGTAGACATCGCRGTTGGAATTATCAAAGGTTTTTGACACCTGAGAGACACCGTAGMAACTCCTTTGAGTTTGGAAGCGGGGGTGGGGGTGGGGGGAGGACCAGGGAGGATGATTCAACCACTAGATGTCGCTGAAAACAACAAATCCTACACACTGTGCCTTTAAGGTTATAACAGCTCTCTCTTTTTATAAAATTTTCCTGAGTAATGTGTTTTGGTGAGCCTTATACATAACTAACAGAAAGTTCTAATCAACCAAATCATATGATTTCAGTAATTTCAGTTTACCATAYAATATCTTAGATGGATTAAATTAACTTCTCAGAAAGTGGTCTGTAAATGCACATCTACTACTGGTTAACGTTTGGAGGTAATTCTATTGAAAATGGCCACCATGGCTWACTAATAAATTAAATTAATGCAAGTCCTTTAATTGAAATGAAGTTTTTCAGTCATCTGCAGTAAAAAGCACTCATGCAGACAGATAGCAGGGCTGCTCACGTCTTTATCCCCAAACTTTTCACATTTAAAAAAAGCCATAAATCAAGTGTGCTCCTTCAGATTGCAGACAACTCCTCCTCCTCCTTCTCACAATTAGCTGCTGCTGACAACTGTGAAATTGCTCTTTAGTGGATAAATGGATACAGTCTYCTGTATATCCGTGCCAGCATGTCTCATCCATCTTAGCTCGAGTAATTTAGAGCGACCAGAGGTTTTTTTCTTTTCTTTTTGAGCTGTCAAATAAGAAGTGGAACTCAGCCTTTGTCCAAAGATAGGGCTCATTTTCAAGAACACTCGCTCTGTAAATCTTCTGTAATAGCATGAATGGGACAAAGGTAATGAGATGTGAGACACATTACAAATGTCCCAGTTGCCTCTCTGAATTTATTTTATTTTTTTTTTTTTGGAGATAAGCTGTCTTGGAGAATTGTTTCATCTGAGCACTTTGATTCTCTTTCCGTTCCAGTCTTCGTCAGCTGGACACTGAGTTTATGAGGCGCCTGAGTCACTCGGTCAACATCATACCTGTCATTGCAAAAGCCGACACAATGACCATGGAGGAGAGACTAGAGTTCAAGCAGCGGGTGAGTTTCATCAGAGGGACAGATCAGATGTTTTCAGTTGCACTTATGTGGGAAACTTATGAACATTTATTATCTTACCTGTTGTACAGAGCTCTTTGAACAACCTCAGAGTTTATGAACTGACAAGCTAATGGCTATGAATCATTGATACATTGGATTGGGCGTCACGTGACCTGGGCGTGCTTTGCAAAGGGGGGTTTTATGCATTGAGCTAATGCTAACACTAACCATTGAAATCAATGAGCAGAACGTAGCGCAGTGCAAACAGATAATTTATAAACGTACAAATGATAGAAATACTTTGCTATAAACTACAGAAATTGTTACATGTTTACAAGGGCTAAAAGGGTTATGTTTCACAGGTAAATATTACACRTATTTAACCAAAATTGATTATTTTATTCGTAAAACCGGAATGCTAACATTAAAATGCTTCAGTGTTCATGTCCTGATGCATCTCAGTAATCCAGGACGAAAAAATCAAAAATATAAAATAAATAAGTCCTCTGGATGGGTTCTTTTTTTTTAGTGAAACGTTTCGTCTCTCGTCCAAGAGACTTCTTCAGTCTGAAGAGTTCAAATGAACAATATCAATTCATTTTACTAAAACGAGAGGCAAAAAAGAAAGTGAAACCTTTAATTTGCTGCCTGTTTTGCGGGTTACATTTTGGTGTGTGAGTTTTGTTTTTTTTTTCTTTTGGGCAGGTTAAAAAGGAGCTGGAAACAAACGGGATTGAGTTTTACCCGCAGAAAGAGTTTGATGACGACATGGAGGACAAGAGCGACAACGACAAGATCAGAGTAACGTTCTCTCCTTAAGTCACGTGTTGAATGATTGTTTCCCTATCCGGTTTTAAACACCTCGTGAACTTTTAACAGCTTCGTTTGATCGTCTTAAACTGAGTTCAAATGTGTCGGCAGGAAGTGATGCCCTTCGCTGTAGTGGGGAGCGATAAAGAGCATCAGGTGAACAGCAAGCGGGTTCTGGGGAGGAAGACACCCTGGGGAATCATAGAGGGTGAGTGTTGGGGAGGTTCAGCACCTTTAGCACGGAGATGACAGTGATTTTTGGGGAGATTTATTTGTTTATTTTGTGTTTGTTCCAGTTGAAAATCCAAACCACTGTGAGTTCGCTCAACTGAGAGATTTCCTGATCAGGTAGGATTTTTTTTTAAATAATCAAATATTAAAACAATGAACAAGAATAAAGGATCAATTAGATCAAATGGGATCTGGAAACAAAATAGTTTCATTCTAAAACCTTCTCAGCATGTCAGGACAGAGAACAGGAAGTCAGCACATTGAGGGATTTTGAGTGTTTCGAAGCTTGGGTTCATTTTGAAGCTCTTGTAGCAAGGTGATTTTCTTTTTGCAAGACTGAACATTAGAGAAGTCGAGTTTTTATACAGATTTTAAACAGACCGGCCTTTTGTAAGTAATAACAAATTTTTAACAAGTTCTAAGAGTAAAAAACATCCTTACTAAAGACTTGAGTCAGTCATTTTGTCCAGCACATCCGTCTTATCTTAGCTTCCTAAAATGAAGGAATAATATTTTTTAAAATAAATAAATCAGTGTTATTCTGAACCCCGTCCTTCTGGGGTTTTTTTTCTTTGCAGGTCTCACCTCCAGGATTTGAAGGAGGTCACTCATAATATCCATTACGAAACGTACCGAGCCAAGAGACTGAACGAGAACGGAGGTCTGCACCCCATCTCTTCCAACGACACCCAGGAGAGCAACCTGTAGTCAGTCAGCGAGAGGATCTTTTTCCAGGAAGAGTCAAAACGGTGCAACGAAGCTCACATAGGAACCGTCTACAAAATCATCTGAAATCGTGAAAAGTCTCCTGTAAAACTCGTTGTCCTTTAATGTTCAGTCCACCGCCGTCCCCTAGATGTCAGACCCCTTCAAACTTATCATCTTCCTCCGCTTATATTAAAAGGAGACATTCTGAGGTCTTCATAAAAACCTCATCATCTTTGGCCAAAATACAGCATGATTATAGAACCAAAGCCCTCGTAGATAGCTTCTGACCGAGGACTCAGTGAGACATTTTCCCTCTCCTCCAGGGGATGTGTGTTTTTTGAGGATGGATGTTTACAAAATGATCCCAACGTTTGAAGAGAGAGAGAGTACAGTTCCCAACAGCTTCAGTTACAACGCTGCCCTGCAGGTGAGCGGCGTAAAGGCCGGCTCCGTGGATAAAACAATAAAAACAAGTAGTTTTGTCACCATTAACTCCAAATTTTAATGTGGGTTTTTAGACCTGTTAGAAATTAACATTAAAATTTTTGCTTAGGTACAGTATTTGAGCTCTTTTTTAAACAACGATAACTGTTTAGTTTTATTATTTCTGCTTTCAATAATGATGCATTTATCAACAGATAGAAAACTATCATTTCAAACTTCCTGCTGGGAAATAAGTCAAAACAATAAAAGAATAACAGGCCTGACTCTGAAGAAAGAAAACACTAAAACAAGACTAGTGTACACTTTAGTTAGCTCATATAAAAACACAACTTGTGATAATTTGGAGTAAGGAGAATGTTAAAAGGAAAACTTACTGATTCTCCTAATTTGAAGGTGGGATGAATGCARCAGGATGGAGCATTCAGTCCACCTTACTGCACCTGGACCGTGCACAAAACACACTCAGGCAGATTGTAAAGAGATGAAAGGTTTCCAGATCATTACTGAACCTTCTCCCTTTAAATACAATGATTCACTGAACTTTTATTTCAATCACATCAACAGCTAATCAAAGAAAAAAATGTTTTTTTTTTTTTGTTATAAGTTATCATGTTGTTTATCATTCTGACACAGCTGGAGTGAGAGAACTTCAATCTGGACATATTTACAGACGCGTTTTCAAGTATTTGCAAATAGAAATGACTTAAAAGTGTTGTGCCATTATAAGAAATGAATTCCTGCTTCTCACCACTTGGTGGCAGCATTCTGCACTGTTAAAGCCATTTCTGCATTCCTCTTTCATCTGTCAAATCCATTCTAATTGCCTGAGAGGATTTACAGAGTTTGCAAACATATCTCTTCATGTCAAGTTTACAAAGTAAAACTTTAAATCCATTACCCTCATGATATGCACTGGAGCTGTCAACATGTTTACCAGGTTTCCTTCAGGAACTCAACCTTTCTATATGTCCTGTATAGCGGAGAACAAATATGTCAAAGCTAAGAAGTAATAYATTCTTTTAATAACTCAATAATAAACCGCTAAGGTAAACATGATGCTGACGTGACGTGTGCCAGAAAACGTTGATGATGGGTGTAGTTTTAGTCCAATTAAAGGAAGCGGAAATGTGAAACAAAAGCATTTTCTGTCTGTCGTGCTTGTGTGAGCATGCTTGTATTCACACTGCCTGTTTGCTTCCAGACTGATCACTGAAATCATCTAATATCTCTGAATGTGTGTGGTGTGTACATTATGGGTAAAGCCCACCATGGGGCTCCGTCGCTCAGCAAAACGTCACCGTACACCTTTATTTAATGACTACTTTCATTTAAAAGTTGCTGTGATGCATAATTTCCGGTGATATGGATTTATTTATACATTAGTGTCTTATTATTGTAATTTATTCTTTATTTAATAAAAAATGCACTTGTCCATGTGTTTAGATTTCCATTGTCATTTCATGATTCAGTAATAACAGCATTTAAAGCTGCATTTTGTACTGTAGTGGATTTTGTAATTATTTGGGTAAATTTTAAACATTGTCCTGCTGCAGGCAGAAAGGCTCATTAAAAAGAATATTAAAGTTATGGTCAAAAGTTTTGGAAGTGACATAAATATTGGGATTAGTAAACTTTATATTGAGCTTATGATGTCCTCATTACAGTGAGCTTTATTACATTTAAAAGCTTATAGCAATAATGGCAATAAAAGCTAATTGCATTCAGTATATCAAAAAGAAAAAAATAAGTAGGTCCTCTGGATGGGTTCTTCTTTAGTGAAACGTTTCGTCTCTCCTCCAAGAGACTTCTTCAGTCTGATGAGTTTCAGGTGAAACTCAGCCTTATAAGCACTGCCTCCACATGGACAAACAGGTTAGTCACATGCAAAAGAGGGTCATCGCCTAACAATAGGCTTGATTACCTCTATTGTTCATAGAGGGTCATGTCCCCATCACCTGACTTATTGGTTTGGATTAGAGGTGGGCGATACTGGAAATTCTGGTATCGATCCAATACCAAGTAAATATTGGGCCAGTATCGCTGATATGGATACCTTTTAAGCTTCATAATTTGAAAATATCCAAAAGATCTAGGATAGAATTTCACCAAACATTGTACGTGACATCAAAATACTTTATTATAACAATCAACATTTTTGCTTGCCAACGATATAGCAGTTTCCTTTAACATTAGGAAAATAAATCTTTTGTACAAAAATAAAATAAAAAATTCTTCCCTCACCACTAGACATCTTTCCTAGTTCTTTCTTTGTTTCTTTTATTAAATAAAATTGTTCTTGGGAAAAACAAAAAATAAGGAATTTTCTTCCTTTCAATACAATTCTGTTTTATGTAAATAAACAGACTAAAAAATATCACTCAACACAACTTAAAACGAAATCTCCTGAGGTAGAGGGCTCTGTGAGAACTGCTGAACCACGTGACGATGCAACAACAAAAGACGAGAGTGGGGAGGGTGCGCCGCTCCGTGCTGTGTGTGACACAGTGCAGCACTTTGAAAAATCTGTGTGCAGCAGTCAGTGTGTGCGGGAAAGAATAATGCTTGAGTATCGATCTTTTTACACGAGTATTGTTCATTATCAATACCAGCGTTCGATATTATCGATATTATTATCGATCCGCCCACCTCTAGTTTGGATGCTTCGGCTGTGGTTATTTGGTGTTTTATTTGTATGTAGTGAGTGCAAGCGGGGTTCAACGTCCCCTTGTTTTTGTCTCTCCCTCTTTGTGTTGGTATCATTGGGTCCCTGATTCACACCTTTTGCTCACAGGGGGCGGAGTCATACTTGCTATGACAGCATTGTAGGAGGAAGACAACTGGACACGAAGGCCTCCACCTCTGCTTAATGATGGACGGTTTTTCCTTCACAAAAATGGCTTCCTTTACTCCTCTCTGAAACGTTCCTCTCTATCACGTTTCACTAAAGAACCCATCCAGAGGGCCTACGTATTTTTTTCTTTTTGATTTTTTCTACCTGGATTACTGAGATGCATCAGGACATGCATTCAGTATAGTTTTTCTTAAGATAACAATTTAATATATTTATTTTTGACTTAGAAAATCTCCCTTTCTTGTGCTAACTAACAATCCTAACTAAACAAAAGGTGTGTTTCAGTTAAACAAAGAACAACCAATACTGCTATAGATCAGTCATACTAAGCGATGAAACTGGATGTAGCACCATAATTGTCTCATTTCTTTGAAGAAAAGACTTTTCTTTAGATAATATCTCATTAACATGAGAAAAGATGCTTTAAGATGCATCTTGATCATCTCAAGATGACACAAGTTTCACTTCCAGAAGCTGTTTTAAATCTGTCCAGAACAAACCAAGGACCACTTATCACCGTCAGATCCTATTCTACCAGTGAAGCATGGTGGTGGAAGCTTCATGCTGTTGAAGTGTTC